AAAAATTAAAAATTTATATTATTCACTCAATTTCTATCTTTGTATATGGGCATCTTAAAAGCTGCACCTGTAAAAAGATATTATTTAGCTTCTCAAAGCTATATATTTCGAATTTTAGAGCTATTTTATGAAAGTGTGAGCTTTCCCTTTTATTGAGATTGTCATGCTATATATATATAAATTTTGAGAAGAGTGATAAACTAGTGCTATGAAGTAGTATAAATCTGTTGAATATTATAGTTATAAATTGTTGCAAAAATGTGATTGCAGATATCAAAAGTTGCGTATTAATAAGTCTTTTGGGATATTCTTTTATTACTGCTATGACAATAAAATATTGGTATTGGTAGACCCTTTATTAGTCTCCACTCAAATTAGTTAAGAAACTGATCATCATATATGCACTTAGATTGGAATTCCTATATAATTTTTGCTAAACATACTTAGCCTAGGATGGAACACTCATATGTTAGCTCATATTTAGTAGTTTTGGAAACTATTATAATATTGAGCTTGAACTCTCAATATTCACTAGATGAGAGTTTATTGTATCCACTAAGACATTTTTGTTATTATGCCCCATGTGTTGGTCTTATTTGGTCCCATTACCTATTTATAGAAAGTGCCTAAACTCATATCTATAAAATGTGTTTTGATTTTAGATTGTTTTGATCTTTTTTTTGCGTCCAAATTCACAATCTAACATCATTCCATATTTAATAAGTTTTCATGATTGTCCTAAAGACTAACTCTTGAAACTTGAATGAAACCCAAAGCCTGCTTTCATGGAGGGCATATAGAAAGTTTCAACTATATAGTTTAGTAGGGATAATGGGTAGGTTGGGTGGCCAACCAATCTAAGTTATTGTCTAGCTTCCCATTAGTTATGTTTATCTTTATTTTGCATCTAGGTTGGGCTTAATCCTAAAGTCCATCCTATGTTAGCTAGTGAAATACTTATATCCTCGTGTTATACCACTAGTATATTAAAATAATACTAAATTCCATTTGATTCTATTTTATGTGCTAGTCTTGGTATTAGGATATTAAATGCTCTAAGACTATTCTAATATCACTTTATATTATTAGTCCTTCACTCCTAAGTTGTATGTTTGGAAGTTATTCTATACTCCAATTGCTTCACCCCTTGGGTATATATATACTTTGGGAGTTTACCATCCCTTTGTTTAGTGGCTTAAAGCTTTAAAACTCAATATTACTCTTAATATATGCATCCAAGGGTTAAATTCTATTTTGTGGTTATTTTAGTACATCACTATAGGGTAGAGGGTCAAAACCACATATGCCACATAAATTGATTCCTATAAAATTTAATCTTCTGTGAAAAGAAGAAATTGTGTTAAACACTATCTTCATAACCCCACTTTATAGAGGAGAAAGGTCATAAAAGAAGAAATTATGTTAAATACTCTATTTTCAAAGCCTTACTTTTTAGAGGCTATTAGTTCTAACTTAAATTTAATCTAGAAACCTAATAAAGGTATAGGGTTCAATTCCCATAAATAAAGTTTTAAGTTTGATTCCATAACTGAGTAGTGGTGAATATACTTGCAGTAATAAATATAAAGAGATAGTAAATACATGTCATTAAATAATATTAAAACTTTAAAATAAAGATATTAATGTATTTAATTCTATACAATTTAAAAATACCATTTGGCAATCAAGCAATTCAACTAGGAGATTTATTAGAAATTTTAATTTTTGATGATGACAAAACTTGTTGGTACTTATGTCTTCAAGCACAAAAAACCAATCTAAAAATGAAAATTGAGATATCTCATGTAATATTACTATCTCTATCATTTATGAATCTGACAATTATAAATGCAAGATTGATTCCAAAGTTGATATATTTCATTCTTACAAGATTATGATTCATTAATTAGTTTTATTTATAGGCAATAAAATGCAAGGATTGTTCTAAGACGTGCTATAATATTATCATTAAAGACCAAGCTATATTGAAATGCTGATTGTTACAAGAAGGATAAAGTCATCTCATAATAGTGATGAAAATCTTAATGATGTAGTACACATTTTACTTCAAAACATGAACTAGAAATTTAGAAGGATTTGGGCATTT